CTCCCGCTGATTTAAAGACTAATTTTATTTCTTTTGAGTCACAATAAACTGAAGATAGATTCAGTTTCTAATATGCCCCAAGACGAAATATTCTGCATATAAATATAACATAAAATGACAGATGCATAAATTATTGAATCTGAATTATAATTGACTTATCTAATTCAGTCCCTAATTTTTGGTTTGTTTTTGATTTTTGTTTCACAATACTGGGGGTTGAATCTATGGCCTTCCACCTGCTAGGCAAGTACTCTATTGCTGAGCTACACTCTCGGCCCTCATATTAGTTCTGCTTTTTTTGAGTCAGGAATTTTTTGTGGGTAGCCCTGGCTATCTTGGACCTCATCTGTAGACCAGGCTGGCCTGGAACTCACAGAGATCTACCTACCTCTGCCTCCTGAATGCTGGGATTAAAGGCATCCACAACCACCCTGCCCAACACTCATTTTAATGTTCAGACAGAGATCACTAAATTGCTCAGGATAGTCATGAACTCTGTAGACCAAGTTAGAAGAAGTGGGTGCTGGGACTCAAACTCAGCTCCTCTCCAAAGGCAGTATGTGCTCTTTGTAATGGATCAAGTAAAAATGCTGCGGATCCCCAAGCAGTAGCAGTGGGCAGCAGGGTCCTGAGAGCAGCCAGTCCCAGGCAGGGACAGCATAGTTCCCCAAGTGGCTGCAGTGGACCAAGAGGAGAGACAGACAGATGGTCACGCCAAGGGACCACACTGAAGGTCTCCGAAGGCGGCTGGTCCTGAGCAGGGAGCCACACAGTGGGCAAGAGACAGAGACATGGATAGGCACGCCATGCAGAGTGAGGTTGGATATTAGTGGTTATGGAAGGGAAGGGAAGAGGGGGTAGGTAAGGGGAGAAGGGGGAAGAGCAGAGAGGGATTCAGGGTGGAAGCTGAAGATCAGCTTGCCTCTGTGGAATGGGGCAGGGATTGAGGAGGGAAGGGGCGAGGCTTGTCCCTTAAAGGGACAGGACAGATCATTACACTTTTAACCATGGAGCCATCTCTCCAGACTGCCGTAGTCTTTGTGCTTAAAGTCTATATTAAAATATCTTGAGCCATCAAAATGGCTCAGTGGGTAAGGGCTTTATCTTTCAAGTCTTATGACTTGAGTTTGACCCCAGAATTCACAGGGTAGAAGAAAAGAACCATTTCTGCACACTATCCTCTGACGGCTACAGGCTCCATCACACACACTATATAATAAACGTAAAAACAAAAAACTAGAATCTAATTCTGCTTTATGTGGCTAGTCCTGAGATTCTCTTCAGTGTTGAAGCCAGGCTTTTCAGTTTGGCCTCAGTTTAGGTAATTAAAAGATTAGGGGAACTCCTGAAGCTCCTGTGAGTGTCGGGATGGGGTTCTGCCTTCTTCCCTGTACCCCTCAACAGCATGAGTGTCCCCTTTCTCTAGGGACACACACACACACACATACACACACACAGGAGGCCACCATTTGCAAATCTGGGAAAGAGTACTCACCAGGAGCTGACCGTCAGGGCTGTGGCCTTAGACTTCCCAGGCTGAGAACTGAGAAACAGGTGTTAGCGGCTTAGGCCACGACACTGGCCAGAGCAATGTGACAACACACAGTAAGGTCCTTGGGGACTCACTGGTTCTTCTCTTGTTGAATTCATAAGATCTGTTTCTCTGCTGTTCAACCGAAAAGACTTCCGGTGGCATGGAACTGCCAAAACCCAACCTTCCTGGAAGGTTCTTCTAATGACGTCTATTGTCTACCTATCATGATTCTCTGTGTTGTTTGATGTGTTCTTCATAATTCACTCCATCTGCGCTATTCTGAGCTCTCATCCATTGGGAGACAACAGCTCTCAAATCATTGTTCTCAATCCAGATCTCTGTCCTGAGCTGGAGGCCACACATCTAACCTGGCCAGCCTGACATTTCCACTTAGATACCCTGGAGGACCTCAAACATTCCAGCTAAGTAGGAGATCACCAATCAGCCTGAGTTTTTTTCCTTGTCTCCAACAAAGAGTATGAAACCCAGATCTGGCAATGGCCTCTTGGGGACTTCATCATTGACCCCATATATTTATTTGTTTGTTTGAACCCGAGTCTCACTGTGTATTCCTGGCTGTCCTGGAACTCTCTATATAGACTAGGTTAGCCTTGAAGTCACAGAGAGACTTGCCTGTCTGTGCCTCTAGAATACAAAGGCCTGACCCACTATGCCCTTGGCTCCATTTTTTTTCCTAAGATTTATTTATTATGTATAGTGTTTTGCCTACGTGTATGCCTGCACACCAGAAGAGGGCTCCAGATCTCATTATAGATGGTTGTGAGCCACCATGTGATTGCTGGGAATTGAATTTAGGACCTCTGGAAGAGCAGTCAATGCTCTTAACCTCTGAGCCATCTCTCCAGCCCCACCTTGGCCCCATTCTTTATCCCACAAGTGCACAGTCAGCATATTGAGCTCAGGGTGAGGACAGGAGTCATGTGGAGCAGAGCCACCCCAACAGAGTGAGGCTTAGATGGGCTCATAGATGGGCTCATCCTCAGGTAATCTGCTGACCCGTAGGTGACAACATAAGATCATTTCAAAGAGGGTATGGTGGCATAGACCTGCAGTTACAGCATTTGAGAAGGTGAGGCTAGAGGATCAGGAATTCAAGGCCAGACTTGACTACACACTGAGTTCAAGGCCAGGCCGGGGCACAGGAGATCCTGTCTTAAAATAAAACAGACTCTGTCTACCACACCTGGTGTTACAGGCCTGTAAGCTCAGCTACTGGGAGACTCTGGCAGGAAGAGTATAAATCCAAGAGCAATCTGGACATAAAGATCTTTTGAGCCCAGACATTTTAGTAAATCCAAACTGAAATACTGTCAAACAAGAAGGAGGAGGAGGAGGAGGAAACGAGATAGATAGATAGATAGATAGATAGACAGAAGATAGTAGATAGATAGATGATAAGTAGATAGATATATCAGATATATAGATGATAGATCTGATAGATAGGTGATAGATAGATGGTAGATAGATGATATTAGATAGATAGATAGATAGATAGATAGATAGATAGATAGATAGATAGATAAGATTATTATTGTATCCAAGGCTGGCCACAAACTAATGGTCTACCTGTCTCACCCTTCCAAGAACTGGATTACAGTGTAAATTACTACCCCAAGTTTAATTAAGATTTTGATTTTTGTAGTTTCAAAGGGTTGACTCCAGGGCACAGATTAGGCAAAATCTTGTCAGCCCCCACTTCCTTTTTTTTTCTTTAATTTTTTTGGGGGGAGGTTTGCAATGTAGCCCTGCAATGTAGCTGACCTGGAACTAGCTATGTGGATCAGGCTGACTTCAAACGTAACGATCCATCAGCACAGCCTCCCTAGTGTTGGAATTAAAGGTGTGTACCAACACACCCAGATGGGCATTCAGCTCCCCATCCACCTTTATTTTGAGACAGTCTATTATGTGGCCCTGGCTATCCTGGAACTCTCTTTGTAGACCAGGCTGACCTTGAATTTAGAGATCCACCTGTCTCTACCTCCAGAGTACTAGGATTAAAGGGTGCTGTCCTCTTCAGTCCCTTTGAATTTTATTTTGAGACAGGCTTTTAATAGTTTATCTAGGATGGTCTTGAACTTGAGATCCTCCTGTTTCAGCCTCCCAAGTGCTGGGATTACAGGTCTATGCCACCATGACTGGGGAAAGGTTTCATTCCTCCTGCTTTCCCTTTCTCTCTCCTTCCTTCTCTTCCTTCCTTTTAAATGGAATTAATACAAATAAAACACAAGGCCCAGACAAACAAAAGATGGGACAGAGTTGGTCAAACCGCTGTGAGGCACGCTTGCTCTCGAGCAGTCCCCATGTCTGACCACTGGTGTGCTGAGTGGTACTGACTGCTGAGGACCCGTGTCCGCAATGTGTGGTGAGTGTCCTAGAGGACAGGAACCTTCTTTTTCAGGCAGAGCTCCAAGCGCTGGAGTGTAGCAAGGCTGAACATGGTCTGCACAGCAGATGTCATGGAATTTCTAGAAAGATGTCACCAGGGAAAAGGAGGTGCCCTCAGCTCTATAAACACATCTGGTTTGGCTTTGTTTTTGTTTGGTTGGTTCATTTGGCTTGGTTTTTCGAGACAGCATTTCCTATGAAACAGTCCTGGCTGTCCTGGAACTCACTCGCAGACCAGGCTGGTCTCAAACTCACAGAAGTATTGGGATTAAAGGTGTGCGCCACCACCTCCAGGCTGGTTTGGGCTCTTGTCTGACTTTGTCATGCCTGACATATTATCAGACCACCAATACATTAGCTGTCTGCAGGGATGAATAAGTCTCATCCAAGGGCCATCACAGCCTCTGGCTTTGTTTTCAAATGTTGTCATTATTTTTTTGTTTGTGTATGGTGTGTGTTGGCACATGTGCCAAGCTGTGCATGTGGAGGTCAGAGGATAACTTCTAAGATGCAAAGGATCTTTCTACCCCATAGATCCTGGGGATGAAACTAAGATTCTCATGCTTGGTGGCAAGTGCCTTCACCCTGAACCATCTCACAGACCCAAGGACCCTGAGTTTAAATCCAGAGGTGAGATGCGACCCATTTAGGTAACAAACTGATGTGCTAGGTACGGACAAGGCCTGCCAAGGCCCAGGTCTTCCAACCTCAGGCCCCATTTACTTGTGATTTTTAAGTCACTACCACGAGGTGGAACCTACTCCACTTACCCCAAAGGATTGCCTGGCCCAGAACCGCCTGAGGAACTTACAAGAACTAGTCACCCCAGAGTTCCCTCCTGTGCCCCGCGTGTCTCCAAGGAAAGAAAGCCTTCTTAGGGCAGTGGGGTGAACCTGAAGGGAAGCCGCTGCACTGCGGGGTGGGAATCTGCCCTGCTGGGGACCGTCAAGGGTCCCAGCCAGCCGCAGTCCCACTAGCGTCCTCCGGCAGGCGGCGCCAGAGTGTATACCCGCCTCGTGACTCCAGGCCAGAGTCCTGCGGGGCGTGGCGAGAGGCGGGCCCTGTCGTCTCTGGGTGTCGGAGCGAGGCGACAGTCTCGCCGCCGCGGGACGCAGGAAGGGACGGAAGCACGGACCCGCCAAGGGAACCCCCAGGGCCATGACGGAGCGTGCCGGCCGCCGCTGCTGCCTGGGCTGGGACTTCAGCACGCAGCAGGTACGTGCGGGGCGCGGGGCGCGGAGTGGGAGCCTGGCGACGCCTGCCAGCCACACGCGCCCTCCCGGAAACCGCGGGTGCCTCCTCGCGGAACCCCGTGGACGTGCATCGGGGGTGGGGAAGTGACCCCAGGGGACCACGCGGAGGAGGAATCAGGGTTGCGGGTGGCAGGGACCCAGGACACCCAGCGAAAGCCGCAGAGCCCACAGGCTGGCGGCGGTGTGCGCTCGTGCTAACCTAGATCCACTTCACAGCCAAGCACCTTTACTTTGTTTTTATTATTTTATTTCATATTTTGAGTCAAGGCGTCACTGTTTAGCTCTGGCTGGTCTGAACTCATTGTGGAGATAAGGCTGCCCTTGAACTCTTAGAGGTCCACCGGTCTTTGCCTCCTGAGTGCTGGGTTTAAAGGAGAGCGCCACCAGGACAGGCATCTTTGAAAAGTGAAATGGCATATTGTGTAAGCGGACTTTGCCCGTCCCTGTCTCCGTACCCCCTGTCCCCTACCCCCGTGACCTCTCTTGGCTGGCAGGGTCCGTGATTCTAGGACTGCTGGTCAGAGGTTGGTGTTTCCAGCAGATAGCTGGGTTGAATCAAAACCTGGCTGCCAAGCAGGCATGGGACGCCCAGGGGGTTTCAACCTGCATCCTTGGGGAATAAGCACCGCGGCTGTGGAGCCCCTCTACTCAGATGGGTGAAGAAGCAGAGCTTTTCCGGTCTCTGGGGGGAGCATCCCGTATGATCACTCTCCTTACTCTATGAGACCTGTTTCCCCATCTTGCATGAGCTTGGAAAGGCTTCATTAGGATGTCATGTGGTCATGACTGTGGTCATGGCTCTGGAGACAACCCCTGGAGACACGCCTCTTTGCTAGGTCTGGACCTGGTCTTCACTGCTTGGGGAATAGATTCTTGTAAACAGTGGGAGTTTCAGCTGGGTTTCCCATTCTTTAATTTTTTTCTTTTTCTTTAAACTTGAACGTGTGGCCCATGAAACTTCTGTTGCTGTGGTTGCAATGCTGCTGAACCGTGACTGAAGTTAGGAGCCCCTGGGGTGGAAAGTAGAGGCTGAGAAAACCCTAGATACCATTTTCATAAATGCCTTCCAGGTTAAAATCGTTGCTGTTGATGCAGAGTTGAATGTCTTCTATGAGGACAGTGTGCATTTTGACAGAGACCTTCCTGAATTTGGGTATGTACCTGGTGTGCGTGAGTGGGTGGGTTGAGATCTCTAAATCATTTGTGCTATTAGCTATACTGTTCTGGCTTAACCCAGTGCCAGAGAGGAAGTCTATGTAGAACTTAATCACCGTCTATCATCACTATCACCATCATCACCATCATCCATGTATCGGCGTTTGCTTGCATTTATGTCTGTGCACCACATTCATGCTTGGGGCTCACAGAGGCCAGAAGACAACATCAGACGCCGGTAACTGGAGTTACAGATGGTTGTGAGCCACCGTAAGGTGCTTGGAATCAAACCCAGGTCTTAACCCCTGAGCCATCTCTCCAGCCCCTGAGAATCTTTTCTTTCCACACAGAGAGTGACTTTTCCCCTCTTCTTCCCCAATTCAAGTCATTCACTCACTCAGACATTTGAGATGTGCTTTTGCCGGGCCACGTGCTGGGCGCTAAACTCTGATGGTTGTACTTGGCTATCTTCTGTTGCTAATGAGAGAGTACCACAGACTGGTGAAGTCAGAAAGAAAAATGTTCACAAAGCCATTTTGTGAGTTGAGGCCAGCCTGGACTACAGGGCTTAGTTCAAGGATGGTCAAGGCTGTTACACAAGAAACCCTGCCTCAAAGAAAAAATAAAAAAGGTTCGCATGACCTCATGCTCTGGTCAGAGTCCAGGTTACATCTACAGTGGGCCTTCCTTTTTCTTTTTGCACTTGGCAAGAGGAAAGGGAAGGGATGCATATGTGTATAGATGTGTTGCATTTGAATGAATCTTCTCTGCCTCTCCTTTTGTTGTTTTTCAGACAGGGTTTCTCTGTGTGGCCTTGGCTGCCCCGGAGCTCATTGCGTAGGCCAGGCTGGCCTCGAACTCACAGAGATTCGCCTGCCTCTGCCTCCCAAGTGCTGGGATTAAAGGTGTGCACCACCACCCAGCACCTCACCCCCTTTTTGAAACAGGGTCTCATGTACCTCACTGTGTAACTGAAGATAACCTTAAACCCTCCTGCTTCCTTCTCAGAGGCTGAGGTTACAGCCACCACATCTGGTTGTTGTTGTTGTTGTCATTGAGACAGAGACTCTCACTTTGTAGCCTAGGCTAGCCCCTAGCTCATAGCCCTACTGCCTCAGCCTCTTTGAAGGCAGGGATTACAGGAACAGCAGCCAAGTGTGCCACCGCACTTGGCTGCTCCTTTTGAAAACTTTGTTCATTTTTCTTTTTGTCCTGGGGATCCAGAGAAGGAGGCTCTGTACATATTAACAGTTGATGTCCCTCAGTCTCAACTAAAGTTCCTGGCTCAGCTGGGTGTGGTGGTATATACTTGCTATCTCAGCAATCAGGGCTGATTCCCGGCCAGCCTGAGCTACACTGTAAGACTCTGGGAGTGGGGGAAGCAACCAGTTTTCAGTCATGAGGCCCAACCCTGCCTTCTAGGCAAGGTTTTCTCCATGAGGTGTCTTCTAAGAAGGGCTTTTGCAGGGCTAGAGAAACAGCTCAGCAGTTAAGAGCACTGGCTCGAGGACCTGGCTGCTCTTCCTGAGCACCTGGGTTCAATTCCCAGCACCCACACAGTAGCTCACAGCCTTCTGTGACTCCAGTTCTTATAGCCTGTTCTGACCTCCCAGGGCACGAGGCACACACGTGGTACACAGACATACGTGTAGCCAAAACATGTATATAGATAAAATGAGAACTGAAATTAAAATGAGTTGTTAGTTTCATATGAACAAGGACTCCAGGCCTTTACTTCACACCTTTTCCTAGCCAGAACATAGTGTCTGCTTGGCACTCACGGATAGTGTCCTCTCTCTGGCGGTCTCCTATCACCGTGGGGTAACTTCTCAGAGCTCAGCCTGCCCTGGAGCTCCATCCCACATACCTGTTCTCCCTGCAGAACTCAGGGCGGTGTCCATGTACACAAGGACAGGCTGACGGTCACCTCTCCAGTCCTGATGTGGGTCCAGGTAAGCATAGGGAGGCTCCCTTCCTTCTCCCGTATCCAGCCTGTGTCACTGGTGGCCCCAAAGTGGCATCTCATGGGGGCGTCCTTTAGCTGGGATTAAAACAAGTTGCGTGGTTCCTGAGGCAGACCAGCCTTAGCTGGTGAGTGTACTTATCTGCGAGGACTCTCAAGGGACTTCCAGGTACCAAAGCCACAAAGATTGTTTATTTATTTTTTAAAAGCACGGTCTCATAGCCCAGGGTGGTCTTGAACTCACTACGTGGCCAAGGATGACCTTGAACTAATGCTCCTCCTGTGTTGGGGTTATAGGTGTGTACCATCATGCCCAGCATGCAGTCCTGGAGCTTCTACCAAATGAGCTGTGTCCCCAACCCATGCTGCCTCTAAAGGGACAGAGAGCCAGGCTTCCCAGTCTTTGCTGTCAGTCCAAGCATTGTCCCTGGTGTCTTAGTGTTTGTCCCCATGGCATGGCATGGTAGTGTCTTATAGTTAACTAGTCAGGCTGAGATCAACCCCAAGCTAAACCTGCCTATTTAGGACCATCCACCATGATCCACCTCTGGCCAGATGTGGTGACCTATGCAAAGATCTGTTCAACACAGACGTGATAGGGCCTGGATTGCCTCGTGACTGATGGTACCAAAGTCCTTTAACTTGAAAGCCGAAGGCAGCACTGTGTGTCTGCCGAAAGCTTTTCTGCATTTTCCCGTCCCTGTTGAACCATCTGTTTTGTCTGCCTGGTCATGGGTCAGACACTGAAGAGTTAAGGATGGATTCTACCAGACAGGTTGGCTGAAAAGCGCCCAGAAGACAGCGCCAGATCAGCGGTGGTAGTGGGAGGGCAGAGGCAAGGGTCAAGAGGTCCCAGACATTAGGTTAAGGGCTGTGTCAGTGTAGGTGGGAGCAGATCCGGGGTTGCGTGTGGAGCCAGGGTGGTCACTGGGCTGTGGCAGCCTCTGGGGCTGGACTTGTTTCAAGGTTTGCCAGTCCCTGCCCTCCTGTCTGAGGTTTGACAAGCAGCCTTGTAAGGGCCTGGAGTGACCTTAGCATGGAGCAGGGTTATTTCTCTGCCCTCAGAAGATATAGGCTGGGATGAGCCTCAGATTCCTGCCATGAAATGTTCATGTATCTGTCTGTCTGTCATCTTCCATGAAATAGAGACATGTTGAGAGAGGTTTTCACGTATTGCAGATTGGCCTCAAACACTGTGTCACTGAGGATGACCTTGAACTTCCGATTCCCTCTGCCTCCATCTCCTGCACATGCCTCAACGTTGTTTTTTTCCCCCCCTGTGGTTTGTAGTTGGAACCCAGGGCTTTATGTATGGTAGGTGAGCGCTCTACCAATTAAACTGCATCCCAGCCCATCTGGCCGTGAGGTCTTAGGCAGTAAGACTCTGCTGGACACCACCATCTGTCTCACCCACTCCTGGAAAAAGATTCCAGCCAGATCGAGAACATTAGATGGACATTTGGCAGCACAACAACTGGCTGTCCTCAGTCCTGTGGCCTCGTGCTCCTGGGTACAGAGTCTGAACCTGCACCCTCCTGATGGCAACATCTGCCTAGCTTTGCTCTTCCATGTTGTTTTTGGGTAATTCAGGCGGTGAAGTAGAAGTATGAGCAAAAGGAAAACACAAATTGGAGCTGTTTGCTCTGGTTCTTCCCCTGTGTTTGGGGGGTGCCAAGTAGAGGCGGAAATCCTGAGGATTAACGGTTTATGATTTCATTTATTTAACATTTATGTGGCCAGAGTAGGCCTGGTGGTGCCTACCTGGAATCCCAGGACTTCAGAGGTGGAGGCAGAAAGATCAGGAGTTCAAAGTCATCGTTAGCTGTTGGGTGTTTAGCTTAATGGGAGGTCCTTGTGACCCTGTGCCTCCAGAAAAACCTTGATTGTTAAACACACTGGATCGTCTTTCCAACGGGAAAGATGAAAAACCTGTTCTTCCATCCAGAAACCTGAGAATTGGAAGTGATTGATAAGCTGGTGTTATCTGTTGGGCCAGGCCAAGTCATGTGCCCACAACCAAGACAGGAAGTGGCTAATACCCCAGTGACCTCTATTAAGCTAGGACAGGTAGCCTATCTCTAGAAGTGCTCTTCTTGGAAGAAATTACGTGTACCCTGAGTTGAGTCTCAATGTGATTATGCTTCCTTGTGCACCAGGGGTTGTGTTACACTAGGAAACTTTTTTTTTCCAAATTACGCTGTGCTTAAATACATTGGGAATAAACCGCTTCTTGTTAGTCTCCCCAAAGTTTGATCCAGGTTGATCAAGTCTATCTGCACTGGCTTTTGCTTTGTTTTGTTTTGAGATTGGATTTCTCTATATGTCTGGCCACCATGCCGGCTTAGAACTCAGAGATCCTCCTGCCTCTACCTCCCTAGTGCTGGGATTAAAGGTGTGCACCACCACCACCCAGCTCAGGTTTTCATTCTTGTCTTTGTGAGTAGTTTGCTTCCCTTCCTGGACACCTGCAGGCAGGGACCCCCCCTCCACTTAGCTGCATAGTGAGTTGGAGGCCAGCCTGGATTACATGAGACCCTCTCTCAAAAAAAAACACAAAAATAGGCTGGAGAGATGACTCAGAGGTTAAGAATGCTGGCTGTTCTTCCAGAGGACCTGAATTTAGCAGCCAGTACCCATGTCAGACAACTCACAATCACCTGTACCTCCAGCTTCAGAGGATCTCATGACTTCTTCTGGCCTCCTCAGGCACCTGCACACATGGGACACACACATAGACACATATATACACACAAATACAAATAAATGTAGGGTTTTTTGTTGTTGTTTTCTGTTGGATTTTCAAGACAGGGTTTCTCTGTCTAACAGCCCTGACTGTTAGAACTCACTTTGTAGACCAGGCTGGCCTCAAACTCACAGAGATCCTCCTCCTGAGTGCTAGGATTAAAGGCGTGTGCTTCCATGTCTGGAAAAAATAAGTGTTTAAAACAGACAAACAAAAGTACTGTGTTTAGCCAAGTTGACCCTTTTATTTGACTGATGCGGCTTGTTTAATGAACTCTCCTGACACAGATGCTACACTGATGATCCCACTCCCTCGGCAGAGCTTTCCGCGTTTCTGTGCTGAGGTTTGTGGTCTAGAGGACTCGGTGGTTCTGTTGAGTCATGGTGGATTTTGTTCTTCTTCTCAGGCTCTGGACCTGATCCTGGAGAAGATGAAGGCTTCGGGCTTTGACTTCTCTCAAGTTGTAGCTTTATCTGGAGCAGGCCAGGTTTGTCCACAGCAGCCATATCTGCCTTGGGAACTTGGCTATCTCAGCAGCGGGTGGGGGCTGAGCTCATGGCTTCCTGTGGGGTCTGCATTTCTTTCTTTCTCTTCCCTTCCCTCCTTTCCTTCCTTCTCCCCTCCCTCCCTTCCTTCCTTGCCTCCCTCCCTCCCTCCCTCCCTCTC